TCCTTTTTGTAATTGTCATGGATGCTTTATCCTTAATAGTCAGCAACAATGTGGGAATGATGTTGTAACGACCCACTCCACCACATGGTATGATATTGTCCGCTTTGGGCCTGAGCCTGCACGGATTTACTCTTGGGCTTTTACCCCAAAAGGCCTCATACCAATTGGAGATGACACACTTACATATAAGCACTTCACCTTTTCTCTACCCAAGCGATGTGGGACTGTGCACCCGCAGCTCGCCAGTGTGGTAGCCTGACAGTGTCTCTCGCACCCTCCCATGGTACACCCGCCCACAAGGTCATCACAATCTACTCCCCTTGGAGGCCTGAGCCCGCACGGTTTTGCTCTTGGGCTTCACCCCAAAAGGCCTCATACCAATTGGAGGTGACATACTTACATATAAGCACTTCACCTTTCCTCTACCCAGGCGATGTGGGATTGTGCACCCGTAGCTCGCCAGTGTGGTAGCCTGACAGTGTCTCTCGCACCCGCCCACGGCACACCCATCCACAAGGTTATCACAATCTACCCCCCTTGGAGGCCCGACGTCCTCGTCAGCACACTTCCGGCTGGGTCAGGCTCTGATACCAACTGTAACGACCTAAGTGCTTATATGTAAGTGTGTCACCTCCAATTGGTATGAAGCCTTTTGGGGTAAAAGCCCAAGAGCAAATCCGTGCGGGCTCAAGCCCAAAACGGACAATATCATACCATGTGGTGGAGTGGGTCGTTACAAATGGTATCAGTACCTGACCTAGCCGGAAGTGTGCCGACGAGGACGTCGGGCCTCCAAGGGGGGTGGATTGTGAAGAACTTGTGGGCGGGTGTGCCGTGGGCGGGTGCAAGAGACACTGTCAGGCTATCACACTGGCGAGTTACGGGTGCACAGTCCCACATCGCCTGGGTAGAGGAAAGGTGAAGTACTTATATGTAAGTATGTCACCTCCAATTGGTATGAGGCCTTTTGGGGTGAAGCTCAAGAGCAAAACCGTGCGGGCTCAGGCCTCCAAGGAGGGTGGATTGTAATGACCTTGTGGGCGGGTGTGCCGTGGGCGGGTGCGAGAGACACTGTCAGGCTACCACACTAGCGAGCTGCGGGTGCACATTCCCACATCGCCTGGACAGAGAAAAGGTGAAGTGCTTATATGTAAGTGTGTCATCTCCAATTGGTATGAGGCCTTTTGGGGTAAAAGCCCAAGAGCAAATCCATGCGGGCTCAGACCCAAAGCGGACAATATCATACCATGTGGTGGAGTGGGTCGTTACAAATAGTATCAGAGCCTGACCCAGCCGGAAGTGTGCCGACGGTGACGTCGGGCCTCCAAGGGGGGTGGATTGTGATGACCTTGTGGGCGGGTGTATCGTGGGCGGGTGCGAGAGATACTGTCAGGCTACCACACTAGCGAGCTGCGGGTGCACAGTCCCACATCGCCTGGGTAGAGAAAAGGTGAAGTGCTTATATGTAAGTGTGTCATCTCCAATTGGTATGAGGCCTTTTGGGGTGAAACCCAAAAGCAAAATCGTGCGGGCTCCAGCCCAAAGCAGACAATATCATACTATGTGGTGGAGTGGGTCGTTACAGATGTCCTCTTTTAAATACCACTGGAGGTGTAAACAACAAAAAAATAACCCACTTGTCCTATGCAGATAACTTGCTACTTTTCTGTCATGGAGATATCTGTTCAGTTTCAGTCCTGAAGTCTGCACTTGACCTTTTTTGCTCTATGTCTGGCCTTGACATTAATTTATCAAAGAGTGAAGTCTATCTCTCTGGAATCAATGATCATACGCAGCATGATATCATTTCACAATTAGGAATTGAAGCCGGGACACTTCCAGTGAGATACTTAGGTGTACCATTGATCTCCACCAACTTGAAAGCTCAACATTGCAGCTTATTGGTAAGCAAGATCACTCACAGAACCTCAAGTTCCCTTTCCTGTGCAGGTAGACTCCAATTGATTAAATCTGTTTTGGTCTCTACACAAAACTATTGGTGCAATATTTTCATATTACCAAAGGCTGTCATTGATGAACTTAACAAGATATTTAGGAGATTTCTCTGGTCTGGTCCAGAAATGAAGTCTTCTGGCTCTAAAGTGGCTTGGAATAAGGTATGCAGCCCTAAAAATGCTGGTGGGTTGGGGATCCCCAACTTGGAAATTGCAAATAAGGCTAGGATAGTTAGATTCATTTAGGAACTCTTAACAGATGAGTCAAATAGGCTTTGGATAATGTGGTGCCACTCGCATCTCCTTAAGTCATGGAACCTATGGACACGAAACTACCATTAACCTTGCTCCTGGAGTTGGAGGAAAATTCTTCAACTAAGGTACTCTACAAAACTGTTCATCAAGCACTCCATAGGCAATGGTGCCTCAACATCATATTGGTAAGACAACTGGGCTCCTGGTGGTCCATTGTGTACAAGATTTCCAATTAATCTACTTACTGAGGGTGGATTCAATAAGGCTACAACACTGGATTATTTCATAACCAACAATAATTGGAACTTTCCCCTTATTTTAACCAACTAGATTCCTAAATTGTTAACCCTTCCTACACCTTGTGTACACAGATTAGACACTAAGAGATGGACAGCTTCACCAACAGGGTTTTACTCCTTCAAGCACACCCTTGCACACCTAGCAGGTAAGTTCCCCACTATCCCATGGCATAATCTTGTTTGGCAATCTCCCACCATACTTCGAATGAAATTCAATCTTTGGCTGGCTGTTCAATCTAAATTGTCCACTCTTGATAGCAAATCAATGGCTAAACACCACAACATTTGCTCTTTCTGCAATATGTCAACTGAATCCCATAGTCACCTATTATTCAACTGTTCTTTCACATCCCCTCTTTGGTGTTTCATCAAGTACAAGAGCAACATTCACACAGCAATTAACAATTGGGACAATTTAGTTATGTGGATCAGTAATTATTGTAAAACGAATACTCCTATTAATCTACATAGGAAATTATGATTTTCTGCTCTAGTGTTCCATACCTGGGAATAGAGGAATACAAGAATCTTCAAAGGTCAAAAGGCATCGCAGAGGGTGGTTTGTGCAAAGATCTTATCTACTATTGCTGCAATTCTAAAATTGGGTTATCTGAGGGACTGCTCTTCCTCTAGATCGATTCTTCAAGGTTGGAATATCTCGCCGTCCCACTATAGACCTCCTCCTCGGCCGCCGGACTAGTGCTCGGCGATCTGGCCGCTTCTGTGCTACTATCGGAATGTATGTAGTGACTCCATTACACTGTTCTCACAGTTAATAGCAGTTACAATTTGTATCCGCCCTAATTTAGGCTTGTTTGCTGGACATGTACCAGCCTTTTTCTATTGTGGGCCAAAAGCCCATCTCCTGTACATTATTTATATTCATATACGAAAATTGCTTTAATTTTCGGGAAAAAAAAAAAAAAAAAAGTAAGACAAATTTTCTAAAATAGGATAATTTATTGACTGTCTATATCAATGACATTGTTGGGAGCTCTGGGAACACAAATGCTCAACATGGAATCCACACTCTTTATAAGAGTTAGAATATCCCCTTGATGCAATTTAATAAGTTTGATCACTAGAACCTGGCCAGGGTATTTTAGTAAAATGTTTACTAAATTATTTTTCTATTATTTATTTATTTTGAAAAATATTTATTTTAAAAAATTCTTTTATAAAAGAAATTCAGTGGTCATGAGGATTAAATTGGTTACTCAAGGAATATAAGAAGTAAGCATGCCTTAGGTGGGACAGTATTTATTTTTCTTGGTGCTACTTATGGATATTCGGTAGCGGAGGGACTTATATGTAGTTATTTAGTATGACGGGACCTTGTTATAATTTTTGAATCCTAGAGTGCTTTTACAATATTATTGTGGTGATTATTATAATTAATTTGATAGGATAGAGTTATGATCTATCTAATTGGAGATAGGATAAGAATCCCTTTTGATCCTCATCTCTACCCCTATCTATATACGTAATATCTGTAAGGTTGATTGTTTTATTATTCACTTACAAACTTACAAAATATAGAACAATCGAGAGTGAGAGATACAGGGCTTCCATAAATTTGTGTATTTCGGAAATATGGAGGTGAAGGTTTACTGGTATTCAAAATCAAAGGAAGAACAATCTAATTCACTGTTATTATTAGAATGTTAACGATTAATTAATCGTCCAAATATATGAAATTTCTTTTCAGTATTTCTTAATTTGATAAACTATCACGTAGATATGATCTTGAAAATTTTAAATGACTTCCGTTATTCCTTCAGACATGACGTGATATGTATTAACACATTGAATATTACTCCATTTGTAATGGGTGAACACGCAATTTTTGTTAAACGACATCATTCCCAAGTTTTGTTGTACAGTGAAGTGATCACCGTTGTCCTGTAACCTATTTGGAAAAAAATAAATAAATAAAAAATTGTCAACACCATCACACTACTCTACGAAGACCGCATTATTTGTCCACTATCTCTCTCTCAATGGATAGGAAATTTGCGTTTTATATTCTTCTATCACTCAAAATTCCATAGAACATTTTAAAACAGATCATTGGATTTGTATGAATGAGAGAAGTAACTCATCACATTTTTTATACAAGGTTAGAAGATGAGAGTCCAAGCTCTCATAAAGACAATGCAGTTGTTTGATTGTATTTCTTCTTGTGAAATAAGACACCTAATTTGAGGTTTTGCTTTCATTTTTCAATTCCCATAATTATATTATTTTTTTAACACAATTAAATCTGTTTCCAATTTAATGTGTTTGAAAAACATAATTAATTGTGTTGAAAAAAGAATTAATGTGTTAAAATGCAGAAGTATCTTTGGTGACAAATTAAAGCACCCCTATGGGAAAGGGTTTCAAGCAGAGGATCCGGGGCGCCTCTCTCTTCAATCAAGCCACTTAATGAATTTAGGGTTTTGGCTTTGATTGTAGTGTGAGTGCATCATCTTATAATTGAGAGAGCTACTAGATCACAAGAGCCTCTGTTATGCATTTACTTGGATATATTCTTTGCAAATTACAGTCAACCAAAATACATATGCTAAAGATCAAATCATTTTTACAACAATTGGGAGATGACTCACAAACAACATTAAGAACAGACTGAATACCCCTTTATTTTCCATACAAGGGCATTTGAGAATAGATTCATTAGTCAACTTCCAAAGATGCATATGATTGAAACAAGTACATGCATTCTTGTAATTGAGAAAATATTACTCAACAAGCCCACGACGCTGGCTGCCTGATGCAGCTGAATGTCACTCTCCCTTGGTTTCCTTCACTTCTTCCTTCTTCACTTCTTCCTTCTTCTCTTCTTTCTTCTCTACCTTGGCAGGAGGTTTGGCTTCCTTCTCCTTTGGTTTGCCTGTCTTGGGCTTCATGAAGCAGAAGCAGGAGCAGCATGGGCACTGAAACAAGAACTTCATTGCTCCTCTGCCTAGACCAGATCACAAAATATTCAGCTACCACAATGCATATAGAAAGGTCAGCTTTAATTCCTCTTTCTATCTTCTTTTCATATACCATTGGATGCCATTTCAGTCACTTTCATCTTTAATAGATACCTACCTCCTATTAAAGACACCTCTAGGGTGTGGGGTTGGTCATGAACATGGGCTCCTTAACAGGCTGTTCTTGTGGGTCATGTTTGCTGACTTTTATTGACAAAGACGTCCTCCTTTTGATTTCTCTGTCTCACATAATGGAAGATGTCTAGGCTGGCAAGCAACAATGAACATACCTATTGCATTATCATGGATGGGATTGGAAAATTTAAGACTCGTTTAGAGTTAATAGTGGAGTACCATAAAAGTTCTAGCGGGGGACTACATAATTTAAGACTTTAACCAACTGAAAATGACTAGGTTGATTAACAGTACAATAATATTCGACCAAATTTGCATCTAATTTATGATTTTATTGGATTACCTGGTTATTAAAAATTACAGATTGACTGCATTTCTGCACTCTGTTCCCAAAAAAAAAATAATAATAAAAACAAAATGAAGAATTAGAACAAGGGAGTTAAAGGTAAAATGACTCAGAAAATTGCAGCTAAAAATTTACTTAAAGACAGATATCAAAAACCTCTTTCAAATTTTCCATTTATCTCTTTCATGCCACTACCTTGCAGCGTTTCTTACCTCTCTTTAACATGCAATTTCACGAGAACACTTGCCATTCTCGTGTATAATTCTTTATCTGGATTTGAGATGGTAACAAGAAGAACTCCAATATGATAATGAAAGCTTTTAGCCATTCTTGATACCGTAGAGGTAAATGGCAAAGAAGGAAGGGGGAGGAGGATATAAATGGATTTACACTGCATCACAGGTGCTATAAACAACAAGACATTGAAATATCACAATAAATTAACAACGTGCACTATAGAGTCAAGGGAGCTCTGGGACTTATAGGTCACAAACGTCATTGTCACTCTCCCCATTTTGATTAAAGGAGTTGGGATAATGCAAGAGGGAGACAATCAAAACATAAAATAATGAATGTCAATCGAAATCAACTTCGTCTGTATATCTAATCAACTGAGAAGTTCAATTCCACTGGCATCACTCTTTTTCAAATGCGAGGTGGGGTTTGACTTGAGGGGTTCATTTTCTTTTCTTTTCATCGTTATTACAAGTGCACCCTTCCGAGTTCCAACCAGGGCATCAAAGAACTCTCAACAAATTAGTAAAATTTTCATTCTGCTCTAATCAACTAGAAAAAATGAGAGGAGGAGAAGGGAGGAGAGAACCTCAAGCAGAGAGATCGATAATCTTGGTTATTGAATGGTCAAAATATAAAGCAAGTGATACACTGAGCTCAGAAGCACAAAAGGGAAAGCAATACGGTCATATACTGCTCAGCGGCAGGTAACTTGTTGCATAATAATCTTACAAAATGCCATGGATCAGATATAAAAATGGCATTATTTTCACTTACCTCGTCATTTTCTAGCTGTCAACACTTCAAAGTCGAGATGATGGTTTATTCTGTTCAGGTACCTTAAGATAATTGTACACCCCAATACCTCTCTTTTTTCCAAGGCGACCAGCATCAACATACTGCACAAGAAGAGGGCATGGAGCATATTTATCGTCCCCCAGGCCAGCATGAAGAACTTTCATAATTGACAAACAAACATCCAATCCAATGAAATCTGCAAGTTGCAGAGGACCCATTGGATGATTTGTTCCCAGCTTCATTCCTGTATCAATGTCCTCCTTTGTTGCTACTCCAGTATAGAGTGCACAAAATGCTTCATTTATCATCGGCATTAGAATTCGGTTTACAATGAAGCCAGAATAATCCTGGGAGCAAACGACTGTCTTGCCAAACCTACATTCGTGGTCACCAGATGAACACATGGCAAGCATGAGGTCAAGATAAGTTCATACTTATATGCCAACAAATAAAACTTTAACAAAAGAAAAAAGCAAGAATATGTCCTTGCGTCAAAATGACAAACCAGAGTGAGATTGACAACAGTCAACAGTGCATGGTCAACAAAATGTTTACCCTCTTGCTTTGAGAGAGAGAGAGAGAGAGAGAGAGATTCAGTCTTTTTTTAAAAACTTATTTTTCAGGGAGATAGTAAAGGAGGGAGCAACACCTTCCAAGCAAGGAAAGGGAAAACGTCAAGGCAAAGGAAATCAGGTATTTTAAATTTACAAAGTAATCAAGTTGCTCACCTCTCTGCCAATGCTTTAATTGAATTAAATGTATCATCTGATGTATCTGCCCCTCTAACAATCTCAACCAGTTTCATGATAGGAGGAGGATTCATAAAATGCATGCCAATCACCTGCAAATGATTATCTTTCATCACATCAGGATCCTTAAGTATTAAGATTGTAGATAACAGGCTATTTATAAGAATTTAATTACAAGTCACATTTCAGTCATCAACAAGGAAAGCATTTATAAAATTACATGAAGGGATTTTCTTTCTTACATTACCATTAAAATTTCATACGGGCTGGTGTTGATAACTGCACAAAGGAGCAAAGGCAGGTAATAGTGAAATGCAACAGCTAGTACATTTTTGCAGCATTATTAAATTAATATACAAACAGAGAAAAAATTGGTGCTTAAAGCGGGCTACGCAATAATTGCAATTAAAAAGTTTAAAGGTGAAAATATAACATGAATGAAGAAAGAGTATATAGATTTTTTTCTTCTGTTCTTAGTGAATTAACACTACTTAGGAACTAAAAAAATATGTACATATTGTTGCTTTTACGTTACTGAACCAAGCTCTGTTGATTCTCCCACTAAAATGATGGCAAAGGAAATTAGAAGAGGATCCATCAAATGTGAAAATTCAATTTCTTTGACTTTAAGCACATCAATACTCTAATACCATGATGGTAACTCAAGTAAGCCAAAGTTTTTTTGGATGTATAGTTAATCGTCTTTTGAAATACTTTTCTCAAAATTTTAGAACCCCAATACCAAACTATATTAAGGATCAGGTTTCTCTCATATCAAAGAAAAGAGTTGGGGACTGAACACTTGAGCAAGCAAAACCAACAGCACTATTATCACTGTCAATTCTCAGAAATTAGAGGATACGCAGCAGTATTAAAACTGTCAAGTCCCACAAATGAGATGATACAACATTATCAGATTCTTCTAATTATTTAAACACATAATGTAATATTGCCTATAATAACCAAATGCTAGAGAATTCACACACTTAGGTAGCTTATTGATGTGAATCCATATCAAAAAAATTAATCAATAGAATATATATATATATATATAATATATATGTTTAATGACCGTAAATTATGAATTTTGTGAAACAACTTATTCTAAAACATCTTCAATATCCAACTAAACAAATTTTCCCAGAAAATTAACAGTAAAAGATAAATACAAGAATCAAGAGCTATTAAATAAATCACATAAGTAACAACTACAACAACTACCAAACACTTGTATAATAAAATGCTGCTGTATTCTGAAGGAAACCTGGTGTGGTCTACTTGTAGCAGACGCTATACGAGTTATCGAAATGGAACTTGTATTAGATGCCAAAATGGCGGAAACTTTGGCGATCCTGTCTAGTTCACAAAACAACAATTTCTTCACTTCTTCAGATTCCACAATGGCTTCAATTATAACATCCGCAGAATGAAGATCTTCCAAGTTTGAAGTACACCGTAAACGTCTGATAGCATTAGTCCCTTCTTCCTATTAAGTGAAATTTACTAGCATTGGTTAAGATTCAAAACAGTTAAATTTCAGTAGTTTGGAAGACACTGAAAGGAACAAAGGAATTGATTGACTGAAAAGATAATTTGCAGCTAAAGCATTACAGAAAATGGATTTATTTCCTGTACTGAAATGAACATAACTGACCCATCTATTGTTATCCAAACAACACCAAATTAAAATGAAAAAAACAAAACAAAACTAATTATCAAACACCAAATAGATTTCACCCAATTTGATTATATACATCAAAATAACCTCTAAAATGAAATAAAATGAAGTCGTCGGTAAACTAAATTCCTTAGATTATTCAATCACAAATCTTATCAGTTTCCAATCATAAATAAGCAATTCGGTGTAAGATTATCTAATAGTAACAGAGTTGGGCTTTGTTTTGTTTACAAGAAAATAGAGAAAGAAAAAGAATAGAATTATAAAGTGTTCGGTTCAGTTCATAGAGAGATGGGTGTGGGACCTGAGAGAGGTGACCTTTGGAGACGAAGCGCTGGATGGAATTAGAGATGGATTCGGTGGCTCTGGTGAGAGCGTCGGCATCGGTATCGTGAAGCCAGACGTCGATGCCGTAGACAGCGGCGAGTTGGGCAATTCCCGATCCCATTTGTCCGCCACCAATAACTGCTATACTCTTAATCTCCGCCATGCCGTCACAACCGCCTCCGCCTCTGCTACCAGTTGCCTACGCGTCCGAGACGACAACAATACATACAAAGAGAAATGTAATGAAGACAGTAAGACACTCTCTTAACTGTGAGCTCGCATCTCGGTCGTCGATTACTGTCATGATAATGATACCATTCTGTGATGAAAAAGTTAGCATTATTGATATGATATGTCAAAAATATATATATAAATAAATTAGACAATAGTGGTGAAAGAATAAAAAAATGCTTTATGATATGTAAAAAATGGAAATGACAAAAAAAAAAAAAAAAAGAAGATTGTGAAAAATGGACAAAATGGAGATTTAATAGAACACGAAATATCATATTCTTCTTCTTCTTCTTTTTCTACTTTCATGTCTTTTTAAAAAAAATTCCTCGTTCTTATTTTAATAAATTTACTGTCTAAATAGTAAAAGGCCCGTTTAGTTCTGCTAAATGGCAAGAGAGAGGAGAAAAATAGATGAACCGGGGATAAAGAAGAATCCATATAAATAAATAAATATATAAATAGAGGGTGCTCGTCTCTTATTTTAAGAAGTTGAAAGAAATGATGAAATTATTGTTTTACCATTGTATTTATAAATATATAAATGAACACATATAACTAGGATAATAAGTTTTTTCATATTGCCAAACAAATATATTTTTATTTTCATTCGACCTCTCAAGTTTGGATTACAATAGAATAAAGTCAAATGATACCCTTCCTCTTTATCTTCTCTCTCTCTCTCCTTAAATCTTATTTCGTCCCTCCTCTCTTACCTTTGAACTTGCATCCCACTTACATATAATTAATGATTAAGGATTAATTTTACTGATAGTCCGGTAAGTTTGGTTAAATATTACACGCAAATACTTTTGAAATTAATTATCACTCATATCTCAAATTTTTTTTGATTACTTTTTCGTTGAAAAAATGTCAAATAACAATTTTATTCCTATTTTTTAATCATTTTAATTCAAAATAGCAAAAGCGTGAAATAACCAAATTGTCCTCATTTATTACCCTATCACCCCCAAAGCTCTTCATCTCACCCTTTTATCCTGAAATATATATTCTTTGTTGTACATGATGAGAAATATATATATAAAGAATAATTTTAAAAAATAATTATAAATTTATAATTATAATTTGGTTGGTTTTAAAAAATATTTATAAATTTGGTTTTAAAAAATAATTATAAATTTATAATTATAATTATAATTTGGTTGGTTTTAAAAATAAAATATATATATATATAAAGAATAATTTTAAATTTATATAATGAAGGTCAAAGGGTATTTAAGTCATTTTAACCCTTTTTTTTGGTATTTAAGTCATTTCAATCCTTTTTTAAGTCAACCGATAGTTAGAATGGTAGCAATGTCATTTTACATGCAAAAATATATTTGATATAAATAACTTTTGGAATATAAGTGAAAAATAAACCAAACATTTGTAATGCGTGATAATTTTTAATGTATTATTTGATCAAATTTGAAGAGGTTCAAGTAAAATTAACCTTATAACCAATGACTTTTTAAAATCGACTTTATCTTCCCTTTGTTTCCTAACGAAGACTTCATAAAGTATCAAAAAAATAATAAAAAAACTTGATTCGGCATATAGCTTACAATCAAAAAGAAGATAAGTTATTCTTATTAGTCGTCTCAGTTGACGTCACAACAGTGATAAATAGTTACATTCAATTAAGGGACGCAGTTAAAAAAAAAACACCAAAAAAAAAAAATTATCTCAATCTCAACCCACAAACAAAAACGAATCACATAAATCTCTCCTTTCAAGATAGGAGATGCTTCCATCTATGGTCTGCTTGAACCAAAAAAAAATAAAAGAGAAAAACAAAAAGATGTGACATAGTTTGGTCTTTTCTCAAAAATGGTAATACAGTGGGGGGTGCATGTCATCTATGGTCTGCTGAACCATGTGTTACCTGGCTATATAATCCGTATAATTTGTACAAAGCTTTATGGGCATGACAAAATCATTTGATTCTAAGAACTATATGACTAAAAAGAAGTGTTCTTCAAAAATTTACTCTATCATGGATCAAAATCCAGGTCTGATTTACAATTCGATTCAAATTTTCTGATTTACAATTCGATTCAAAATTTTAAATTATTAAGTGGTGTTAACGCTCAACTCATATATATACTCATTTATGTTTCCATCTGATTCATGTAACACTGTGTTTGGTAAGAGAAAGGAAAGAGGGAGGAGAGGGAGAGGATAGAGTATGCCTCTATTGATTGAGGGAGGAAGAAGGGATAACAAATCCATGTCTAAATCCACATATAATGTTGAGCTCACTATGTTTGTTAGGAAATAAGTGAAATTAAGGAAAGAGATGGACCATGGGACATGCTATTATTTTCAGTTGTTTGGCAGAGGGGAGAGGGACAGGAAAAGAAAAAGGATAGTACTACGAAAATAACGTGGATCTCTACCAATTTGGTTTCCCGAGAATGGACCAAAAGAAAAGAAATTACTTTCTAAAATATTAGTCGTATTAGATTCTGCCAAATTAATAGTAGAAAGTGACTCATTTCGGAATGATACATTCTTTTTCAATGGTTGCGTTTATCACTTCTTTTCCCTGCCATTAATTCCTTGACTCCGGAATCGTGCTGTAGTCTGCTATGCCTTTATCAACGCGTTTAAAATATATTTTAACACATTTATTTTATATTTCAATATCATTTTAACATAAAGAATAAATATATTAAAACATAATTTAATAATATTGAAATGAGATCTCAAGATTCTCAACCCACTTTTAAGCAGGGGTGCAACTTGGGTTGGTTAACTCGAACCCAACTCGAGCTCAGCTCGATTTTTCAAAGAATTGAATAATTATTTTTACAATTAAAGTTAGACTTGGACTGAAAATTTTCAACCCGAATTTAATTAGGGTTAGGTTTGGGTTGAAGTGCTAGCAACCCGAGCCAATCCGAACCCGAATTCTAATATTATTTTCATATATATTTTTACTTTTAAATACATTATATATGATATTTAAATTATGATTACTTCTTTTCTTTAAACTTTTTTTTTGTTAAATTTTAACTTATTGTATGTTAATATTTAGGAGAATTAATTTTTTTAAAATTTGTTTGTAATTTATTAAAAATTTACAAAAAAAATCTTTAAACTTCTTCTTATTTAAGAGTAATTTAATCTAAAACTAATTCAAGATCATATTAAATTTTCGAGATAAATATTAACTATATGAATAATCCGAATTTATCTAAAGTTTTAATCCAAAATCTAAGTCCGAGTTGCAAACCCGAATTTAAAATTAGAAGGACGGGTTAGGCTCGTGTTAAGTAGTTAAGATTGAAGATAGGGTTAGAGTTAGGGTTGAGTTTAGTATTTTATATGGTGGGTTAGATTCAAGTTATACTTTAAGTTCGCCCAACTCACCCGAGTTGCAACCTTACTTTTAAACCTTCGATCTTAGACGTTGGGACTAATCTATTTCATACGTTGAATTATATTTCAACACATAACATGGGTAGAAATTTAGAACAAATATATTGAAATCTAAAATTAATGCATTGAAAAATTTGCAACGTACGTAAGAATGTGTTATAGCAATGATTTGACACCAACTCCTTTCAATGAGTTAAAAATTTTCAATTTCAAGGCCACAATGACTGATTTTATTCACTCTTTTACCAGGTCCCTTCCCTCACAAGCACACTACTAAAGAACCTATCAGTGCATACGAAAGGATGGCATAGGATGCTGTACTATCTTGTCATTTAGACCAATTTGCTATAGCAGTGGTACCATGAACGAACTGAATTGTCCCTCTCAATGTCTACCTTGTAATTGCAACAAACTCCCATTATTTCACATGAACTTTACACTACTCCAAAGTTTGGAATCTTGAATATTAGACTTTGACAACAGAGTACTTATGGCCACTGAATGACCTCCAACCTTAAGTGTTGGTGCTAAAAGCCATCAGAAGTTGTGAAAGAAACTTGCGCTCAAAACATGCTCCTTGTGTCTCGAACTCCTAATATATATTTTGAGGTGGAGAGATCATATCGTTCGTGCTAAACTTTTTATTCAAAAATTGTAGGAAAACGATTCTATTTTATCATGATTCTAATTTCAAAAATTTTTGAAATATTATACTATGAATACTACAACACTTTATAAATGAAAAAAGAGTCCTAAAAGTAAGAGAATCTTAACACCAACCCGATTTGATACTGTCTCTAAAATTACGAAAAAATAAAGATAAGTTCCTAATAACTACGCTAATATACAATTTTTTTAAGATCTTAAATGGCTGTATTTGGCAAAAGAACATAATGTGATACAAGCCCTAAGTTCTTATCGGAATAAGTATTCTCTTCTTGTATAAAGTTGGAATCGAGAATATGACCTTTCAACTTTTCTCAGTGGACCACTTTTCTCATTATTGAGCTTGTTGTCGCGAAGTAATACTCTCATCATCCGTGACAATACCTATGACCTCTGTTTATTGACTATTAATTAAAAGACATATTAAATTATTCATTTGACTTTTTACACATCACTTACGAAAGCCTCTCTTCTTATTATCACTCCCTCTAATGTCCGCAGCATAATATTGGACTATTAGTATTACCAATCGAGTGAAAGTAGGTTTATTAAGAATTATGTCATAAAATTTTATGTAGGTTCACCAAATCACCAAACCATTTTGATTCAATGGGCTAAAATTGGTATAACAGGTTGAAATCTTACTATGTCTCATGATTTTAATGGATGAAATACATAGAATTTAATTCTGATTTTGGAGAATATAAACGAAGAAGTTAAACACTTCAAAATAATGCCAAAATTGACAAGATCTAATATAAATTTATACTTTTTTCAATTCATGTTATTCAAGCTTCGATTGTTTTGACATAAAATATATATATATTTTTAAATCTTTAACAGAAGTTTAAGTCTCAATCGGACAAAATATATAAAATAATTTTTAAAAAATTAATGAATAATTTTTTTCAATTAATTTTAATATTATTTTTCTTTGTACAGATTTTATGACAACCAAATACTAAAATATATATATATTTTTTACATTCAAATAAACAGCCAAATGTTTTCATGTTTAAGATTATTACTGTATTATTTTCCTCTTGAGTAAATTATAACATCACCCAAAGTAGAACAGAGGTACCATACCAACCACCATTAACTAGAATCAAACTCAAACAACTAACATTAGCAAATCAAAACCATCCCATTCCTTGCTTGATTAGTACAATTCTTACCATTCATTCGCTATTTCACTCTCACAAACGCTGACTGATTCAGAAAATATATAGAGAGAGACAGTTGGAGGAGCGAGAGAGAGAGGTGGTTGTGGTCCTCACACCCTTCTTCTCTCCATCCGACCTTTATATTTACATTTATCTGAGTATGTCTTGAGGTTCATTCATTTCTACCTAGACACTACAATTCTCTCCGTCTCTCTCACTCACTCACTCTCTCTCTCTCTTCCACCATCTTAGGAACCCATAATAATGGAACATCACAGGCGGTACGAGGCAAGGCCATATTCAGACTTGAAGAACAAGGCGGTGGATAAGAAGGTGGAGGAAGATGGAGATGATGGTGTGGAGGAAGAAGAGGGTGGTGGTGAATTGGGGTTCGAAATTGATGAAAAGAAGAAGAAAATAGTTTTTGTTGGTGGGTCTGGAAGGAGAGGGTCTGCCGCCGGCGGCGGTGGTGGTGGTGGTGGTGGTGGAGGAGGGGCGGCACTGCCGCGGTGTCAGGTAGAGAAGTGCGCCTCCGATCTGACCGATGCGAAGCGTTACCACCGCCGGCATAAGGTCTGCGAGGTTCACGCCAAAGCTCCGGCTGTCGTTGTCGGCGGCCTCCGGCAGCGGTTCTGTCAGCAATGCAGCAGGTACCCAAACCCTAATTTTTTCAATTTCAGTGTTTTGATTCAGTTTTTCACTTGAAGTAGGAGTGAATTTGAAGTTATTGTGTCTATGATTAAGCTTTGCTGTAAAGAAATTAATTTGATTCCATTTGTTACTTCAACCGGAAAACGCTACTATTTTCTACTCTTAGAAGGGAACATGTATGTAGTCCAGAAAATTGGGAGTTTCCTGCAAATTACTTTCGGTAGTTGTTATATACTACTAGATCTTGATTATGAGTAATGGATTTTCCTTATATTCTGTTTGTTTGCCAAGAAAATGCAAGGAAGTGAATGCTTTGAACTTCTTAGTAGTGGTGAAGAATGGAGTGGCAATGGAAAGATTAGATATTTTCTCTTTCCCCTTTTGTTCCGTCTTTTATAGGACAATTGCACAATTAAAGAGGCATTATGCACCAAATTCCTTGAAAAGGCATAAACTTCACTCAAAAAAGCAACTACTATTACCTAGCTGTGCAGTTTTGGAAGTAGAATTTTAGAGACTAGACGTAACTTTTGACGCTATTTTGGACAAAGTGATCGTAATCGTACTCAAATTAGCCAAAATAGCTCCTACTTAAATTATTCCACTGGGTAAATTTACTCTAGAACTTGAACCTTGTAGCCCTTGGTGGTTAAAGAAAAAAACAAAAAAAGGCATTGGATGAGTCATGACTTGCACTCCCTTTGCCTGTGTTTTCAACTGAAGTTGAAAAGCTGTCTCCTGAATTGAATTACTGTAATTGGCCATCTATTTTACTATTGTAACAAGGAAGTGTATTATTTTCTAAGCTCTAATCTCTATTCTAATTAATCCATTGGTGGTACAAATTTTCATTTCTTGAAAATTTCAGTATCAAGTACCATACCAATGCCTTGTGACTCTTAACAAAATTCAGGTTCCATGAGCTAGCTGAGTTCGATGACGCAAAGAAAAGTTGTCGCAAGCGTTTGGCCGGACACAATGAACGTCGCCGGAAAAACTTATCTGAGTCCCAAGGGGAGGGATCGAGCCGCAGAGGTCTGGATCAATGCTGGCAGACTGATGAAAGAGGTAGAGCTCAGATAACGCTCCCAGGAAATCCCTCTATTAAACATTTCCACATCCGTTGAAACCTCCATGCTTACTCTCTTCTGTCATTCCACGGCATGCCAATGCTCATGCCCATGCCCATGCCCTGTTTATAATATCCTATTCCGTCTATTTATGTTAAAAACAAGTACAGAATTCCCGTCACTGTAAGCACCATCCCTGCTACATGTTTATCTCCTAATTGTGATAGCTTGTGTAGACTACTGTATCCACATTAGGCCTTCCAAGTTTCGTGTTCTTCGATATTGTTGTTCTATGTCTATGTTGTTGTCCGCCAGCCGGTGTTGAATTAGCCCCAGCACGGATTGATATGTGACTTTCAGGAGCTGCCCACAATGGTATAACCTTTGAGTTATACTCCTCTTAGCTTCTTATGATTGGATGAGTCTCAAGTTGCTCTTAGTTTTATGGTTGCTGCATTCGAAAACAGAGTTATTGTGCAGCTGGATTAATAAATAAATTCTATCAGTTTGCCACAACTGCTTTGGCGCGTTAAGAATGGATATAGTTTTTAATAAGTTTAGTTTTTTTTTTTAATAATGAGTTTTTTTTTTTATATATATCTTTTGTCATATTCTTTTTATTTCTGTTTTTGCATCTTCATTATTAAATTATTTAGTTGTGATCTAACTGTATTTAGCGTGTGGGCCATCATCTGATTCGCGAAGAGGTGGTGTTATTTGTTTGGACTAATGTCTTGGCCAATCACTATTAGACACGTAAGTAATTGTGTCAAAAATGTGTAAGCCTTAGCTTACATGTTCGGATTAGACACTTAAGTGATTGCAACTAATGTCCTGGACCAATCACTATTAGACACATAAATAATTGTGTCAAAAATGTGTAAGCCTCCGCTTACATGTTTTGATTAGACACTAAAGTTATTGTGTCAAAAATGTGTAAGTCTTTGCTTGTGTTTAAAGATGATTGGTCGGCATCTGAAATTTTCTCAGAGATTAAGGCACCCTTTAAAGAGGTAAATGTCATATCACTTGGACTAAGAGCCCTTTATGTTTACTTTCAAAAGAGAGCTCCTAAAACGTGTCTATACTTTTGTGCTGCAGATATTACAGAAAGAAATTTATCATTTATCTTATTTTCTATTTGGAGTCCGTGAAAAATTAAGGGTCATGAAATACGAGGAAAATTTGATGATAGAATTTTTTTTTTTTTTTTTTTTTTTTTAACAAAATTTTCTCGGCATTCCACTTCCCTTTGTCCCTCTCTTTTCTTTCTCCTTTTCCTTTACTTCACTAAGTCCACAATCCAAATTAGAATAGAAAGATCCAGAATAGCAAACCGTTCATAACTAATTTAAATAAAGCAACACAAAAGGCCTGTTATGGCATAATATCAACATTGACATACGTCTACAACACAAGGATAAGCAAACATCGGCTTAAAATGTTCTTCCTTCAACAAGGGGAAAGAGGAAATCAGACACAGATTAGTGAAACCTCACTACTATGCAGGAAATATCATCTGTGCTGTTCCTGGCAAGTGCCTCTTCATTAAGGTGCTTCGCCGCTGATCGAGCATCCTTTACGTTCTTGATACAATCCACTGCCTCTTGATTCGACAAAACCTAATTTCAGATTGGAAAATGCAATTCAGTTCACCATGACTACATTACAGAGTAAAAGAAGAATAGAGCAAAATAACAACATAAATAACAAAATCTAGTTTTGAATCTAGTTTTGGTCACATGAAACACACATGTTATTGCTTAATTCTTCTTTATCTAATTTCCATCATCTACTGATCATATCACTATAGTCCAAGCTACTCCTGCCATGCATGCTTCTGATATATAGCTGCAGTAATCCAAAAAGGGATCGAATAGTTCCCAATATATGTACTTCTCTTGCAGCCTCTAAAAAACGTACTTAGACTACTCCAGCCCCCCTCTAATGTCCAAACAGTCATTTCAGAGGAGGCTCATGGCCAATTAGCAAGTGACATTACGTAGTAGCAAAACTACCTTTAATTATTTTACTTGTCCAAGCAAACTACGAGTTTACACACAGAAGCAAACCCATTCTTAAATTCAGTTGCATTGCATCACAACTTCTTTTCTCCATTTACATGCAAAACCTAGTTCCAAAACAATGTGTGTGTGTGTGAGAGAGAGAGAGAGAGAGAACCAACCTTCCATATGCCGTCACTAGCCAAGATAATGAACTCCACATCATCATCTATAAGCTCACTGGACACATCTGGTTCTGAGCTAAGGTGTTCCTTTAAGCTCTTGTCACCAAATGCTCTTGCGACAGCCAACTGCCCATCAACACGTGGAACATCACCTGAATTTAACATATGATGCAGCCTTGACATTAGTGCTCTAATTTTAAAGGTTGTGGGTGGGGAGAGGATGAGTTGGGGGAATTCGCTGTGGGTTGGAAGCCCACTTGGAATTATGAGGCAATCCAGCTTTTACAAAGAAGTTAAAATTGACAACAAAAGGGCAAAACAACATGAACAAACGATTTCTAATACTCAAAAGGACTGTTAAACAATTTGAAAATTAATATACTTCATCATCATCATCATTGCTTTTATCCCATGTGGAAGAAAATTAATATACTTGATTAAACAATTTGAAAATCTGAGCAGTTCCATTTTAAATGGGATGTGAACAAATGTAATAACAGAGCGAAAATGCCCTCAGATAAATTTGAGTCTATAATTTCAAGATTAGTTTGTATTTCAGACATGTATGTACCTGGAAAGTTTGATACAAAACCACCTCTGTTCTCAATATTCTTTCGTTCCTTGCTAGGCTCATGATCAACTGACAGTTGTTTGGCCACCCCATTCTTGCAGATAACAGCCCGGGAGTCCCCAACATTAGCTACTACCAGCTTTTGACAATCGATTAATATTGCCGTAACTGCAGTTGAACCTCCTTTACCCAATTCAACTGCCTTATCCAAAATATTTGTATCAGTTAAACGATATGCCTTCCTGATTGCATGCTCCGTCTCATTCCAGAAGTCAGGCTACTTGCAACAAGAGAAAAGATGGTGAAATATTTCTATCATCCTTTGATTACCCATTATTAAATATTTAGCAAACAAGGACACAAGGATCAAGTACAATAAGTATTTAATTCTACATCCAGGTCAAAAAACTTGTATCAAGTTCAACTTCTGTTCTGAAAGCACAAGCAGTAGGTTTACTTTGGAAGTCAAATACTACCAATAAATAAATATAAATGAAAAAAAAAAAAAAAAAAAAAAAAAAAATTTAATAAAACATATGATAATCTGCACGAGCATGCACTACCTCTTTCAAAATATTCTCGAACAAGTGAGAGCTCAAATAATCAGGAACATCATGGCTCAGATGACCATCAAATATTGCAAATAAACCAAGCTCATGGTCCCCAACTTGCTTAAACTGTGCAACAACATAATCTTCCATGTCATGGTGTGATTTTCCCTTAACCAAGTGATAGCCATGGGTTATGTGCTTGTCAATCTTACTCTTCCCTTTTCCAGTGTCAGGTGCACATGAACTTAACCCAACTTTTTCCTGCAAAAAATTAAGCAAGCATGGCTCAACATTTACGCGGAGTAATGGCCTTTTATTTAATTTGTAAGACTAAACAAACCGATAGAAGAATGCTAAGAGATGCCCAATAAACATCCTCACTAGAGTGCCCTCATCTATAAGTCTACCATAATATAACCAGTCATGCATTCCTAGTGGAAAATGAATTTAAAATAAGAATGTTCTCTCTCTGTCATGCAAACTCAAGTAAAGGGGGAAAAAATTATGAGTTGCACTAAAAACTTGTAAAAATTATAATTTTAATTTGTCCAATAAAAATGTGAAAAATAATCTAAGGGAATTTTAAGCATTTCATACAGTACTTCAAATTCCCTAAGCTTAAACCTTGAACTAGTAGTATACTTCCATAGCACCAACTGTTATATCAAACAGCTATCTGTTTTACCATTTTGGCACAGAAATACCCAATTCACTCCACTCAAACAACTGGGCCCTGTCACTGGTTGAGCAAAGCATGGCATTTCATTTCAAAATACACAAGTTCAGTGCCAGATAAAGAGAACAACAACCTGTGCTAACCAACTACAACGTTCTATTACCTGGGGATGATAGGGAGGGGTAATACTAAATTGTAATGTACATACCCCGCAGTGATCACCAACTCTTAAACGTAGTTGTCTCCACAATTAACATTCTCCCACTTGGAGAGCATAGGTCAATAAAACCATATCACAACCATTCCATGATTATAGAACTAGCGGTTGTCATCTTTCTACACAGTTACTGAAAGTACGGTAGTTACATGGAATGACAACCGATCAATAAATCCTATTTCCAAAATGATATGTTTCTTATGACATAGTTAAGGACCTTATGCCTCTGTGCATCAAATAGATGCCTTCAATTTCTTAAACAAATACATCTATGCTTCAAACCAGAATCATTCATCTCACTTTCAAGATCTTCATGCTTTAAGAAAAAGTCTCTGATGCTTTAAACCAATATACAAACATAAAAACAAAGCATTATCTAAGCACGTTTTAACTAGATAAACTCATCAATCAAATGTACTTTAGACTATTAGGATAATTGATTAGCTGCTATTGTAGATTGAACCTTTGAACACAAAGGGAAGGAAGGGAAAATAAATAAATAAAAAGGAGGAGAAACAATCAATAGTTTATAAAAAATTTAGTCTTTTACTGTGATGGGAAATCATTTTGTTCCAACTACACATGCACAAATTCCTTGGTGGTGATAATAAAAATTGGAACCTTTTGCACCATATCCAGTGATTTATGTAATTATAGTCTCTTCAAGTATCATAACTTAATATATCAATGACCTTCATTAAGTCACATCTTAGCACCAGTTATTTTGACATTCATCAATAATTTACATTTCCTCAACTAACTTTCCCTACAAAACAACTATTTAGTGAAAGATAACGAACTTTTTGTGAAGACAAATTCCAAAGGATGCTAAAAACAAACAAAGAAAGACAAAATTACGATTACATGTGACAATATTCTTGTAATTGGACTTGTAAAACCTTAATTTTATTAAAAGGTTAATGTGGTCTCCCCGAGATGTAAAATTCATGAATTTTAGCCCAATGGGTTTCTCCTCATAGGTGGAATTCTAACCTAAGGGAGGATTGTGATCTCCAACAATCCCTAAATCAACAACTTATGACACTCACATTACAACATTCAAATTGTGATCAATTGCAAATTAAGTAGATACTATGGACACACAAACAAGGTACACAAATTGCAGATATTAGTGATCTAGATTATCAGGGTCTGAATCTTTATTTCAAAATAACACAGTAAATATACATGTGTGTGTAATATATACAGAGGTGAAATGGGGGAGATTAGTTATGTGATACCTTCATCTTGTGTAGGATTTCTTTACCAGTCATGGCTGAAACAGGGATTGTATTGTAATGTAGACCAGGTGGAAAAGGTCGATAGAGATGCAAACGAAAGCTGTAGAGAGAGAAAGAGAAGAATAGAGAGACAGGCGCGTATAGATATAGATGAAGACTCTCCTACAGTTGACACGCCCATTGCCTCTGTACGAGTCCGCGTTCCTTGCTTATCCATACGCGTTCGCGCCGGGACCAATTTTGTCGGCTTTTTATTTCCTATTATTGTAAAGTTCGCATAATCCTACCCCATTCCTCTCTTGTTATGCGTAAAGATAAAAAGGAATGCTTTAAAATTTCACCTAAAGTGATTTGAGAGATTTGATATTACCAAAAATATAATGTGTGGTGAGCACCACTAAGTTAAGATTTTCGCCCATAAAATAAACTCACAATTGAACGAGTATACTTTTTGATCATGACATGGATTCCACGGCATTCCCATAAATGAGTCCCAACCACCTCATAGAGAGAAATATAAGAAATGAATTAAAAATATGTGGACTGATAATTCCACCTAGGCCAGTCAATCACTTATCCTGCGTGATAGTGAGTCCGTGAGCGATAAGACTGTCTCGAATAGTCCAACCACTCTTTGTGAGAGATTCAATTTCCCCGCACCAACCTAAGGGCCAGTGGCGTTTGCCTAGGGCTCCACCCAACAAGAAAGTTCTAAAATTTTAAAAGAAAATTATATAAATTTTAGAAAAGTGATCGGGTAGGGGGGCGATCTAGTATTATATAAAAATTTTAAAAAATTATAAATAATTATAATATAATTTTTTATATAAATATTGATCTTAGTAGGTGTGTAAATATACATATATATTGAAAATATATAATCCAAAAAAAAAAAAAAAAAAGTGCAACCAAAAAATATATATATGAAAAATTAATATAAGAAATAAAATCAAATTTTCTTTACTAAATGTTTCAAATTTCTAAAATTTTTTTTTTTTTTTTTTTTTTTGAATACTTTGATTCTAATTTGGCAAATATATATCATTATTAGCTTGATGAAAGATTTAAAAACTTTAATAAATAATTCTAACTAAACAAATCTCGCAAGTTTTAATATAACACAATTATTATGATTAAAATAGAGAAGTACTTTAATAATTTATATAATGAGTAGCTATGTATTTTTTTTATTTATAACTACAAATATTAACATCTATAATATTATTATTGTTGTTGGCATTCCTGCCATGTGCTCTCACAATACTATAGTTTTTCTTTTTTCCCATACTCCCAACACTTGTTGATAGAGATTTATATATAATTCTAAATAATTTTCTTGTAAACATTACATTTGGCTTCGTTTGGTTAGATGGAAATAGTAAGGAAAGAAAGTAAATAAAATTTTTTAAGGAGTTTTCTTAGCAGGAAAAGGAAAATTTTGGAGGAAGATCATTTTCCATAACCATTTAATTTTCCCATAAATTTGTTTTTCAAAAATCACAAGAAAATTTTGATTTATTGAGAAAGTTTTGTGAACTTACAATATTAATGCCCTTTCTTTTATGGAAAATTACATGTTATTTAACCTTAAAATAATAATTTTATAAAATTTTCTTGAAGTTTTTTGAAGTGCTAAACAAATTGACTTGAAAATTTAATTTTCCTTCACTTCACTTTCTTTCACTTTCACTTTCACTTAATGTTTGGGAAAAAAAGTTTATTTATTTTTTTAGACATGAGGGACATTGGTATAATTTTCTTCTTTTTCTCTCCTAAACTCATATAAGAATATTATACATATCTATATGCAAATGAAGTAACATTTTTTTTTTCTTTTGGTGTAGGATTTCAATAATAATGAACTTACATTTTTATTTCACAAGATTTAAGTTTTCAAAAGTATGGCTAAAAGATTCTAAGTTGATATTGTATGAGTTAAAAGTGAAATAAGTTAAATTTATTTTCACTCTTTATTCTTGGGCTGATAAATAAATGTTTTGAAAATATTTTGGAAGGGCCAAATTAGAATTTATTATAAATTTTTGATCATATATTAAGTTTATTTACAATATAAATATTTTGAGGACTACTAAAACAAATTAAAATTTTTTTGGGGGGGCCATGGCCACCCCTAGCCCTTACCAACTCTGCCCCTGCTATCTCAATAGCTTGAGCTTTTAGGCAAATAAGTAAGCGTGCATCCGTTACAGCTGATATCAGAGTCAGACCCAATTATTAATTCGGTGTCACTCCAAGCGCCCCGCCCGGAGGGCGTCCAGGTTTACAGCCCAAGTAGGCAGGTTGGTCCGAGCCGCAACGAGAGCGTTGCGAGTTTGAATGGGGGAGAATGTAGTAAGGGTCATTTGTCCCACATCAGATCCGGATGGAAAAATAATTGGGTATAAATGGGTGGATATTCAACACTACCCAACAACACCCACCCGTTACACCTAGCCATTAGGAAAATTCAAAAAATTTAAAATTTTTTTATACAAAATATATTATATCTATTTTTTAATATTATTAAGCACTAATCAACACAAAAAATTAATATTAGGTCCAAAGATTTATATCCTAAAATAACTGTTTTTATTTTATTTTATCTCCTCCTCATAAACGTTTTTTTTTTTATTAAACTCTAACCAATACACAAATTTAATATTGGGACCCAAAGATATATATCCTTAAATGACTTCTTACTTAATTTTTTTTTTTCTTCTCTATTCTCTTCTCTCTCCTCCTCATTCACGTTTTTTTATTAGACCCTGTTAATATACGTGCCACGACGTCTGCTTGAGTGGCACCATCTCTGAAAATAAGCACACCTGGCCAGTACTTATCTGGCGTGCTATATATATATATATACATATATATATATATATATATTAAATGGAATAAAAAATAAAAAATAAAAAATTGGTGGGACCCACAGCCCTTTTTAAGTGGTCATGAGACCATATCTTGGTCTCCATTTTTTTTCTTCTTTTCTTCCCCTCCTGCTGGTCTCTCTCTGCCCCCTCATTCTAGACTTTTCTTTTTTCTTTTAACTTTCAATCTTCAATTCTTGATTACTCCTTCAATACTTAATATTTTTTAGTGCCGTTTACGGCAAATTGAAGCTCACGGCGAGATCTACAAGTTGATCTGTGCAATTTCTTGTTTGGTGCACTTGGAAATTTCGAATTATAGGGCTTGGATTGGGCAAAATTTGGGGTTTTGCATCCTAAGAGGTAGGGGTATTCTAACCCATAAATTCTTTGATTTCAGTGAGTTATCTCCTTAAATTTGGCTCAAGCATAATTTTATTGTATTAATCTTGTTATAATCATGAGATGATTTATGTGTTGTATGTGCTTTATGTGTTAAGTGGTATGCTAAAATGAGTTGTTATGAAAATGTGAGTTTGGTTATTTAAGTTAATTGATACACTTGTTATGATGACATAATTGTTAAATTGAGAAATTAATGTGGAGTATTAAATTATTTTTGAAAGCATATAAGCATGATGTATATGAAATGGATTTATGTGTTTTGGAAAAATTATGTTGAATAGTATGTGTGAAAACTTTATTGTTGAATTGATGAGTTGAGACATGGAGCATTCTTGCATTCATTGGGAAGAGAAATGGGAAAAGTGTTTTCAAAACAAAGGAAATTAAATTTTGGGAAAATGTCTTTAAAAAAAAACGTTTGCGAAAATCCGGACGCTTAGGAAGCACCTAGTGGTTCGTGGTGTTAGTGTGATCTAGAAGGGGATTAGAAAGAGACTGTAGTGTGGTTGAGCTACCCAAACGACGCCATGGAGGTGCCATGTGGTTGGGGAAAAACTAGCCAACCCCTCCCTCGTGACACCTTAGAGGAACCTTTGTCTTGGTTCGGATCACACTAACGGTTTGGATGTTGAAATAGAAATGTTTCAGAAAAGGGGAGCGACATGAGCATGGTATTGCATTTCATTGGCATACATGGTGTATTTGTGACTTGGATGACATTTGTGTTTATATTAGATATTGTGGTTATGGTTTACATCCCCGGTATAGTATGATCCCATTCTCTTATTTTCTATTCTATACGTGGATTTACGAGGTCATAAGATGTGTGTCTTAGACACTTCCTACTGAGCTTATGCTCACCCCTTTATTATTAACATTTTTCAAGACATGGAAGGGAAGTGGCGGACGACGCTCCTTCAAAGGCTTTGATGGGTTAGGAGATCGTTTTGACATACTTTGTAACTATGATCTCATTTTATTACTATTATTTATTTATTTATTTATTATTGTTATTATTTTCTTATAAACCACGTATATTATGTATTGACATAGGAAAGGACGTCAGTACCCTTAGTTGACATCGGGTTCAGGTAAGGACTTGGTTAGCGATTCGGACCCTCGAGCTCAGGTCATTACAATCCTTGAGCTACTCGTCCTATAACTGAACTCACTGGCCGAGGAAGGGGTCACTACCCTTCCTCTTCTGTGGACGCGCCCCGCTCCAGTCGGATGGGCCCTTCTTCCCCTCTTTTCCGAGGTTGCTTCCTGCAGGCGTAACCTCAGGCATTTTTCTCTCGAGCTCCCTTTAACTGCAAGGACCTCGAGACACTGAGCTAGGATAGAGCCTGCGGGGCCGAGAAAGCGGAACCCCGAGGAAGGCTCTTTCCCTATCTTCAGTTGTGAGAATCTGAGTATCAGTGGTTAGGTGGCTGAGTTCTAAGGAATCGCCTCACTTTGAGGTTTACACAGGGGGGAGAGAATGTTTAGCACCCAATAGCTGAGCTCGAGTAATAAACCACATAATGCTCTAAATGTATATCTCACAGAATTACTATTGGATAAACAAAGAGCTGCCATCATAACCAAGGGTTCTTACCTAGGTAAAGCGACCATTAGATAAAGAGAAAGTTAGCTCTCATGACCAACGGTCCTTACCCAAATGAAGTAGCATAAATAGGGGTTAACCCTCACCATTTAAGGGGGTTGAAAATACATATACACCACCCTAACTATAACCATAAATGATGGTCTCCTAGGACTCGCGCTACCATGGGTGTTAAGCAAATCTGTCTTCTCTCTCTTAATCTCCTCTATGGAGAATCCCTTGTGCTAGCTTAGAGTTCCACTCAGTCTCTGATCTCAGCATCCCCGACAAACGTGGAATGATCTTCTCATCCTATTCACGAACTA